AAATTTATGCCCACTGTGATCTGGCTCGTTAAAATGAGCGGCCAAAAAGCTTGGAGGATCATCCTGCTCTAACATTGTACATAAATAATCTATTCGTTTCTCGAAGGAAAGTGACCGATCATAGGCAAGGGTAAATAGTGTGTAGGGTGTTGGCCTTCTATTTTCACTTCTGAACCAGGCCAAAACACCACAGCACTTTTCTTAAAAGCTTTTTGATTCGTGATCCACACCGGCGCTCCGTTCCACCATTTTGAATCCAAGTAATGCTTTGACACGGCATCTAAGTAGAAAGTGTCGTTGAAAACAGGATCGAAAAACGTATTTGCCGCGATCCCGTGGCTTTCCTCATAAAGTCCTGTAACTAACGTGAAATGATTCCGAAATCTCTTGGTAACAAAAGTATTGAGAAGGAGTTTCGCTTTGATGCCCTTTCGATAAAATTCAAATTTGGAGTATGAACTTTCTTCACGTAGTCCCACCGGAAACCATCGTACGAGACCAAAATTACAGTGGGTTGTGCTAGAACGATTCTCTTATTAATCAAGGCGAAGGCGTTACGATTAGGAAGAAATAACATGAGCAATCGGTCTAGCCAAAGGGAGGAATTTCATATATCCCATGATGCTTCGCGGCTAATTTCTGTCTTCTATTCGCGGTGGAAAGAGTGCTCGAGTGTTTCGAGGGAGATTTTCAACGACCTGAATTTCAAGATGCAGCTCATCCAAGGTAAGTTTCAATGAGTCCTGTTAATCTTTGGTATCTAATTGTTAATGTAAAATGTTTCCAAAGTCATTTCACGCATTATTTCTCTCGTTTACGACCCTGTTAAGCCATGCTGTTTTAACTCGCAAGTGAATATTTAGTTGGATGACTTTCAATTATCGAAAACTGTCTTTATTCTAGGGAGGTTTTGCCCCAATAAATTATTTAAATCGGCGGACAAGGGGTGCTTGATACTAGTTCCACGCTCCGACCTCTTTCGACCTCGCGATTTTTATGGGTTTGATCGTTTTGAAATGTCGCATTTTCTGTCCTTTCTCCTCTAAGATGCCAGGTGAGGGTTTCAATTTCGTTATGCTAAGTCCTGCGAAGACGGGACATTTTTTCTTGAATTCGCTCTTTTTTCGCTGATCAAGACTCAACTATTATCTCTTGAGGGTATGATGAGTGTTTAAATTCACTGGGTTATAGTATTAAAGCTTTTTTGTCTCATTATTTTAGGTAAAATTGGTTTCTCATGGTGGCTTCCGGTCGCAACCGCGCGAGGCGAACTTGAAAAATACAGGCCAGCAAATGTCATGGAATAGCAGGCCGTAGGACCTCAACCGGCGTATAAAACCTTTAAAGACATTTTGATAATTCTTTTAGGATCCATTGTAAAGAGGAAGTGGGTGTTTTTGTAAATATATTTTGCCATCGCTTAATAAAGCTTTTTTCTGTTTATGTTTGACGAATGCTTAGCTGGTATTGTGTTGCGAAAAATATAGTGATGTCTTTGTTATTTTTATTGTTTGTTGGAGCTATTCCCTCCCTTTGAATTTTATCTCCGATAGACGTCACTTTATACTTTAACGGTCTCGGTATTTTCGACTGCATAAGCCGAGCTTGTTGAAGTAAATGCATGTACGGTTGAAGTACTGTATCGATGAATTATTGAACTGACAATATGAGAACCGCGATCACAAACAAGCAACGAAGAGAAATCTCACACCTAGAATATGTATTTATTTCAAGACAAGTACGTGGAAATAGCTTGTAAATCCATGGAGAGCTTTATCAAAGCACGTTAATACAGGACGTACTGAAGCAAAGACCTTCCTCGATAGCTTCTAAGAACATTTGCGTGGACAGCCTTGCGATCGTAAGGCTAGTTACAGTAGTTAACTACTAATCGGCGGCCAAACATTCTCTTTGACTTAACAAGAGATATATCTGGAATAGTAGAACGAAAATCGTAAATAGATCGACACAGCAAAGGTACAGAAGGTTTTAGCGGCAAAACAAGTCGCTTTCCACCGTTGTTCAACTGTCGCGTCCCTGTTGAACTCATGAGAACTGATAGGATCACGTGCGTTCGGAAGCTTGGTAATATAGTATGAAGCGATGCATCATGGGATATATGAAATTCCCCCATTTGGTCTAGCCAGTCATAATGAACAATTTTGGGAACTGAGACGTCGCTGTACAGACTGTATTGCAGTGGAATCTCCATATATAAAGAAGTCCTAGGTATTACGAACGATTTTCTTTACCCTAGTGATGGTAAAATATGTGAAAAAGAACCTCAATATAACGAAACCTCGTTATACCGAACAAATTTTGCCAGTCCCTTGGCCGACAGTAAAATACGGTTCACGTGACGTCACGCCGTGATTCAGCCGGACACGAACACCACGGCAACACCATCGCATATGTGTGTATATTTGGCAAGCCAATCAGAAGCAGCGATCCTTGCTCGATCCTTACAACAGTGTTATGATTGGTTATCCGGCTAAGTGGA